TACTTTTTGTCTTTTCACTGATATTCTCTATTTGATGCCACATTCTCATACCTTCCTTTATTCCCCTGTATGACTTTAATAGTGGTGTCCTTTAGTTCTTTGATGTGTTTATAATGGCCACTTTGAAGTCTGGTTCTGTTAAATCCAACATCCTGCTCTAACATGCTCTTTTCCTGTTTGTATGTCTCAGAATTTTTTTGTTGGAAAGTGGACATTTTAGATAACATATTGTAGCAATTCTGGGTCCTGGCCATCCCAACCTGGGACTCATTATTTTTGCTGACTTTGTTTAGTGGCTGGCTGGATTACTTTAGTGGTGTCTATTTCCCCCTCCCTGTGTAGCCTCTGGCTGAGCCTCAGATGTCACTCCTCAGGGTCACAGCCTTGGGTATGGCCAGTCACCCTGGGTGACAGAGGTGGAAAGGGTGTTAGCAGGCTCTCGTTGACTGTGCTTTTCCCAACCATGCCAAGCTGCTAAGCTCCACTAATTGTCAGCTGACTTCTCTACTGCTTTAAACAATGCCTGGGGCAAAAACTGCTCCACGCATGAATCCAATCAAATTTGGGCTCCTCTGACAGTTCCTGAGTTCAGTAGTTTGAAACTTTTTTCTGACCCCTAGCCAGACTACAGTTCAGCTTGTATCTCCAATAACTCTATCTTCTCCACCACTTCCACTGTTTTTGAGAGCACCCCTAGGCTTGAACTTCTCCACACCTGTTGCAAATGAAGCCAGTCCTGCAGAGAAGAATCTAGAGCTCACTGTTTTACAGCCTGCTTCTCTGAGCCACAGCTCTAGAGTTGGAGGTGGGGACAATGTCACATCTCTGAGTGACACTCCTACTTTGCGATCTGAGCATGAGGGTCAGCTATCCCAGGTCTCCTGGGCTTGCGTCTCATTGTGGAACCCCCAACCCATAAGCCGAGGCCACTAAATGTTATCTGCCTCCAACCCCCACACCCTGAGGTCTCCTCGTAAATGTGCCCCAAGTACCCAGCAATGGGGGTCTGGGACCCAAGAACATGGCTGCTGGAGAGGGTGTGAAGGCAGGGGACCTGCCCAGCTTTCACTGCTACCTGAGTCCTGTGTGCTCCCGCATCCTCTACAACCATGCTGCTCAGCCACCCTCACAGAGTGGTGCAGACATGACTGGGCCCAAAGGACAGGAGGAGCAGTGATGTGTGTACTCCAGGGAGACACTCAAAGCCAGCAGTGTGCTTCCCACTTCCTGCAGGCCAGAAGCAAACACAGCAGTGGGGGCTCGGGCAGCTGTCTTGAAGCCTGCAGCTCCTGTCACGAGACACGCATGGCAGAAGGCACTTGGCTCTGCCGACTGTCATGCTGCTTCACCAGTCTGGATCACCCTGCCAGACTTGCACGTGTGCAGGAACCAAACCATCATCACGTGTAGCCAACTCTATCCAGGGTCCCTCTGCTAAAGCCACTGCAACCAAGCCCTGGTCATGAGGTGCTCTGTATTCTCCTCCTCTGCCTGGCTCATTGTGGGCTGTGAGTCTGCCCCCCCCCCCCCCCTGCAAAAGACCAGGTGAGCTTAAGGACATTGGTATGTCTCACTCACCCTGAGTCCCCCAAGATCCCTGGCCCATGGCTGGCACTCCACCTTGGGGGCAACGGCAGAGCTGGCTGGGCCTGAAGCAGGCTGGAACCTCTGTCCTCCCTACTGCCTTAGTGCAGGACACCGTAACAAAATGCCAGACTCTACGACTCAGACCACAGAAGCGGATTTCTTACAGTTCCAGAGGCTGAAAGCCCAGCATTAAGGACTGGCAGATCTGGGGTCTGCTAAGGCTTTTCCTGGTTTGCTGACCGTTGTCTTCTCGTTTGTCCACACATGGCAGAGAGCAAGCCCTATCTCTGTCTCTCATAAGGACACTAATCTCATCACAACATTATCTAAACCTTATCACCTCCTACTACCATCTTGTTGGGGGTTAGGGCTTTAACATAAGAATTTTGGGGGGACACAAACATGCAGTTCATTTCACTGTTGTCATGGGGATGGAGGCCATGGACCTAACACTGCCCAACCCCCGACCCGTGATGGCTCTGGCGGGGACAGAGGGCCCCTACCCAGTGCAGCATGTGGCAAAAGGTCTCCAACATCACATCTCTGTAGGACCTCTGCACAGGGCCTTGGAACCATCCTGTGGTGAGGGCATGCTACGTCCTCACAGCCCCATCTCCTGAAACAGGGCTTCGCTGCTTTGTGGGTGAGCAGACTGTGTGTGCGCACTGTGGGTGTGGGGTGTGACTGCGTCCTTCCCTCTCTCAGGGAGAACGGAGGTGGGGAGTGGAACTCCCAGCGCATTTCTTCTCTCCAGAACTTTCAAGGCATCGAGGGCCGGTGGTACAGAAAGAGGCTGGCCTGTGTGCTCCTCCGGCTGAGCCTCACGGCAGCCTGAGTTCAAGCCTTCCTTCCACCTGCATCTGGAATAGGGAAACCAAGGCCCCAAGACAGGAAGGATGCCCAGTGACCTGCCTTGGCTTGTGGTGGGGTTGAGCCCAGGGCAGAATTCCGCCAAAGCAGACTGTGCTCTGACGCTGGGCAAAGCACTTCCCGCAGAGTCCAGAGAGGTGACAACTGCAGATACAGGGCAGGCGTGTGGCAGTGCCTGCTGGGGAGGAGGGGAGGAGCATGGGCACACTGCGCTCAGGACAGACTGCACTGAGGGTCCTTCCACTGGGATAGGGTACAGGAGCACACCCCAGGTCCCGAGCACTCAGGAGGCGCCACCCTGAAGGCAAGTGCAGTAGCAGAAGGAGGTCCTACAAGGAGCAGTGGGGGGAGAAGCTGCTGAGGTGCCCAGTGAGACTCTCAGTACCCCACACCCCACACCCCCCACCCCCTTGCTAGTGAGGAACTGGGGCTGCTGTGAGAAGATGGGGGACTCAGCCGGGTACGCACAGGCAAAGAGGGAGAGAGAAGGCATTTAAATGGAACCAAAAGTTTTCAGCTCTGCTCTGGAGAGCTCCAGGGCTTTGCAAGGGCCTCAGCAGCTCCACAGCTCCGCTTTAACACTGGTACGGAGGCATTCCACCTAAAACTGGGAAGAAAAATTCTGAGACTAAAACATTTGACCACTTGCACTTCTAAGAAACTGGTCAGCAAGAGAAGAACAAAGTGAGCTCAGAGACGCAGCCGGTCTCTGTGAGGAGCCCTGGGGGGCAGGACAGAGGCAAGAGGTGCTCATTGGGCAGTGGGCCCAGCGGCCTGGAGATGAGCAAGCTGGCAGTGGGACGCCACAGAGCCCCTGGACCCGATGCTCCACATAAGAAACCTCTCTCCGAGAGAGACACCCAGCAGCAGGCTCAGCAGAGAGCAAGGCAGAAAAGGCAGGACTCAAGTCCTGCTTCTCAAAAAAGCCATCCCCTGAGCAGTAGGAGGAATCCCAGCCAAAGGGGGCTGTGCCTGCGGTCAGGCTCAAGGAGGCCTCGCTGCAGCAGGCTCTGAAGGAGGGGCACTCTGAGGACAGGCATCACCCAGCCACAGTCGACAAGCGTTTATTGATCAGCCACAACATAGTGAGAACAGGAGCAGGCTGCGAGGGGCAAGAGAAGAGTCCTGGTCCTGGGGACATGCCATCCGCGGGGTGCTGAGGAGAGCCAGCCAAGAAGCGCGCCTGCCCCGTCTGCTCCCTGCCCTGGCTCTGCCCATCCAGCAAGTCCTGCTGCTGCGGAACCCTAGGGAGACATCCTCTCCACACGCCTGCCTTTCAATGCTGCCAGCAACGAGCGACTCCCCACATCTAATCTCCTGTGACACCTGAAGCAGCTGTAACTCAGTCTGTTACGAGGCTCAGCCATGGGAGGCATACACGAGCCCAGCAATGGCAGAGTACACGGATATGCAGACGCTACCAGACACATGAAGGAAATGGCATGACAGCAACTTGACCCGGAGCGATGGAGCCCCAGGAACCCGCAACAAATCCTTTCAACACTATCTGGTTTTATAAACTTCACATTGAAGGAAATGGCATGACAGCAACTTGACCCGGAGCAATGGAGCCCCAGGAACCCGCAACAAATCCTTTCAACACTATCTGGTTTTATAAACTTCACATGGGCATTTAAAGCAAGACACGCACACTTGCATGATGCAGGGCTACGCCACCAGTGACAATGGCCTCAGTGTTTGCAGAGAAGTAGACATACCAGAGAGACCACGGCAAACCAAACCTCTCCCTTGAGTTCTCGCAGCTCTCAGGGTGTCATGGGAACAAAGGCCTCTTGGTGGATAAACAGCAAACATGGAATGAAAACTATGTGCTGACTCAGCTGTTGTGATGGGAATTCAAGAAGGGAAGAGAACTCAACGGTAAAGCAACGAAAAGAGCACAGATAAACACTATCCTGTCTGTCCTCAAAGGAGCCTGAGCACTGCGCACAGCGGTCCTGCAGAATTACGGCCACAGGCAGTGACACAAAGCAGCCTAGTGAAAGGGACAGCTGCACATCAGCTGCACAATCCAGGAAAACAATCATGTCCTCCTACAACCAGCCTCTGTAAAACCAGCTAGTACAGACAACCCTTCCCAAAAGGGATACTAACGTGTTAGCTAGGAATAAAAGCTCAAATATTGCTAGAAGTCTAAGCAGCCTGTTTTGCTGTTTTCAGTGACTTATGTGCAAACCTAAAACTATTTTCTGAACACCTGATCAAGATTTATTCACATAAAGGCCGTCAACGTGAAATTCTGGGGAACGTGGTATACTGGACTGTGTATTGGACTCTGAGCCAAACACTAAGAACACCACGTGGTGCCCATAGTCCTCTATCCGGGTGCTGAGCAGGACCTATTCGGACAGTCCCTCTTCCTTTACGGGAAGCAACTCCCTAATGACCACTCAAGATGGGGCTCACCCACACCCTAGGGTCAGAGCACGCAGGATGAGATCAGCCGGCAACAGGGGCACGTCCATTCCAGGGTCACATCTGCTCCAGGGTTACGCTGCTCAGTGAAGTCATGACCAAGTGGAGACATGTAAACAGGGCAGGATGTGTTTCCTGTACAGCCACAAGCAAGGGCTACACTCATGCACTCATGAACCGGGTCCCAGCCCCTGCAACCTGCCCTCAGGCACCATGTTTGGAGTCTAGCCCAGCAGACCAAGCCTCCCAAGGGGCAGGAGAGCTGGGCCTTGGAAAACGTGGTGTCTGATGGCAGCACAGGTACAGCCACCCCTCAGCCAGCAGAATCGCTTCTCGCCTCTAGGACAGACAATGTCTGTACCCTCTGACAGAGCGAGGCTCAGCCAGCTAAAATGAGACCCAGAATCAGCCCAACCTGGACCCAGTTCCAGCTAGGGGGGGGCTCTGGTATGTATTAGGTAAGGATGGACTCATCCAGAATATTTCCTCTCATTCAGGTGACAAGTGAGAACATAAGACCCCAATTAGCAGGGAGGATGGGCCAATCTGAATAACTGAGACTCCACTCTGGCAGTGCCCATGCTCCCAGGAGAGCTCGCAAGGGTCTGAGCATGCTCTCCAGTCTCAGGCCGACAGTATAGGCAGCATGACCACATGGCACTGTGGAACAAAGAGCTGCTGGCCACAGGTGACAGCTATCAGTTCTCATCTGCCATGGACGAACAGGGCAAAGGAGAGTGGGCCGAGGCTGTGCAAACGCCAGGACGCTCCTGAAGGGCTTCGACTTTGACCATGGCCCTGAGAGCTGCGCGCTGCCGCCTCACCTGGTGGTGCCTCCTGAACACAGAGTGCAGCGCACGCAGCTGCCCCACCTCCTGCAGGGAGAAGCAAGGCTGCCTCTCTGCAAAGCAGATGAGAGTGGCAAAGGATGCGGCTGCCTGCTCCCAGGCCGCCTCGGTGCCCTCCCCCACGTCTCCTCCCACGCTGTCTTGGCTGGCTTCCTTCTTCGCCTTTTCTGGGTTCCAAATGGCCCCCGCTGGTGATGCGGCAGCCAGGGGACACACCTCTTCCACCTCTCTTTCCATTGCACCCCACTCTGGGACCGCACTTTTATGAAACCTGTTGCTTGGGCACGAGGGACCCTCTTTCACAAGCTCAAGGATGTGAGCAAAAGTCTTATTGTGAGGCTTGGCTCTGAAGCGTTCGGCCTCCTCCTCTTCCTCCTCCTCCTCCGAAGAGCCTTCGGCAAACGTGACCACAGGCCACAGCTTCCGCCAGGCCCGCCTGAAGACATGGCTGGGCACCGCGTTCCAGGCACAGGCCACGTTGAATATGGCATCATTCACGTTGTAGCGGGTGTGGAAGCCCTGCAGGGTGATGGGCGGGTTGATGAAGTGCCTCATGAAGTCTCTCCGGATGCCCTGCTCCATGGGCTGAATTAACGAGGTAACACTGGCGGGCAGGAAGATGGTAAAAATGTTATCAGAAACTAGCTCAGACTCCCGCGGGTGGGCCCGGGAGCTGTCCAGCAGGAGAATGGCCTTGCTGTCTTCAGGCAGACCTATGGTTCTGAAGTGCTCTCTCACCGAGGGAGCAAAGATGTGATGGAACCAGTCAGAGAAAATCTCCTTGTCCACCCAAGCGTTACCTTGGGCCTTATAGGCGACGGGCAGGTGCTGGATGCCTTTAAAAGCCCTGGGGCCGCTGCACTTCCCAATCGCCAAGGGTTTGATTCTATGGGAGCCTGTGGAAAATCTCCTTGTCCACCCAAGCGTTACCTTGGGCCTTATAGGCGACGGGCAGGTGCTGGATGCCTCTAAAAGCCCTGGGGCCGCTGCACTTCCCAATCGCCAAGGGTTTGATTCTATGGGAGCCTGTGGCATTGGCGCACATAAGAACGGTCAGCCTGTCCTTGCTCTGCTTGAGACCAGGCACAGTCCCACCTTCCGGGCTGGGATTTGGCAAGCACCGCCAGAAAAGGCCAGTCTCATCGGCATTGTAGACTTGCTCAGGGGACAGACCGTGCTCGGCAGTCAAGCTCTTGAAAAACCCACAGAACTGCTCAGCTGCTTGGTGGTCTGCCACCTGCTTCTCACTGGCCGCATCTAGCTTCTTAATGCCATGTCTGGCTTTGAAACGCCACAGCCAGCCTCCGGAGAACACACAGGGCTCGGTCAACTGCATCTGCTCGTAGAAGTCCTTGGCCTTCTCGATGAGCATGGGGCCGGACACAGGGACACCCTCGGAGCGCTTCACCAGGAACCACTCATACAGGACCCGGTCAAGGTGCTCCAGCTTGGGCGTGTGCAGGGTGCGCCGCTGCTCCAATGCCTTGTTGGAGTCGGAGTTGGCAAAGAACCGGAGCAGCTGGGCCTTATGGGCCTTGATGTCATACAGGGTGGACATGCCCACGTTGTACTCCTGCATCAGCGCCTTCCGGCTCTCACCCTTCTCCAGGCGCGTGCAGATGTCGATCTTCTCCTTCAGGGTCAGCACCACCCTCTTCCGCTTCTCCCCTCTGCTCTTCCCAGCAGCCTGAGTGGAGGCCATGGGGAGGGATGGCTCGTCCGGGAGTTTGCAGGCCTCACACCAGGCCTGGGCTGCTGCCTCTCCTTCCCCTTTCCTCCCGCTCCCCTCTCGTGCCTCCTCCACTCTGCCTACCCTGCTCTGCAGATCCTGAGCCACGCCCCAGGACCTCCTGGGCTCCTCCCTCCACTTGCAGCAACCTCTTGCCACAGCTTCCTGTGGTCTTCCGGGCTCAGCACACTCAGAATTCGGCTCCTAGCAACGTGGTCAGACTGCCCGTTCTACACGGCAGGAACCTTGGCCTTGCAGGGACGGCGGCAGCAGGTCCCCTCAAACACTGTCCAGCTTTCGGGTTAGTCGATGTTTTACTGCATGACATGCAGGGGCCTCTCACAGGGCCCACGATGGTGTCTCACACACGCACCACTTCAGGAACTGGAAAGCAGAAGGGGAAAGACATGTTATGGAGAGCAGTGGACACCCCAGAGTACAGCATCATTCCTTTAGACACATCAGGAAGCTTCACCTGAAACAAAATGCCATAGAGAGGACCAACACACGGGCGGGCTGGCAAGAGCCGTGATGAAGCTGCCCAGCTCTGCCCAGCACACTAATGTGCTGCCACACTGGCCGTTCCCAGCTTCTACCAAGCAACCTCGGAGCTACTTGGTATGGCTGGTAAGTAGACGTGGTTCCCACCAGCACAACCTAGCCTTTCCTGGGGAAAGAGCTAAGGGACAGGCCATCAAATGAAGCCAGGAAGTCAGAGACACCGGGTTGACCCAAGAGCAAACTTCCCACCTTCCCAGATCGAGTTTCTTACTATAATTGCTCACCAGGCTGCCTGACCTAACCACTTTCTCAAATCTATTATTCCTTCTGGAACAGCAGAGGCAGGGGGAGGAGGTGTGCAGAGAACAGGAATTCCTCAAAACCTTCAAGGGCTGAGGTTCTCACAACCCTGTTCCGAAACAATGCCCCTTAAACCCTGTCTGGGACAGGTCTCCTAAAATCTTCTCTTCAACACAAGGCCCCAAACTGCTTCTAGAAAACTAGGCCTTGGACATTTCTCTAGAACAGCGGACTTCAAACTCCTCTAAGAGGTAGGAGGTGCCGCCAAAGTTTCTCAACAACCCTCTGAGCTCCACAACTACATGTGCTCACATGTCTCTCAGGGGAGTCACAGTACCTGGATAGCATGTGACTGTTCCAGGCCATCTTATACACATGGCCTTCAAGCTCAGCTCGGGTCGCCCCTCCCCCAGGCAGCCACACTGAGCCCGCTGGTCTTTGAAATTCCAGGGCCCTACTTGTCTATCAAGTGTGGTCCTCCCTGCTGAACTGTCTGACCACCTGGGCTCTACAACCAAGGCAGAACCACAGACCCTGCTAGATACACACTCTCTCACTCATGTTCATGCATACTATACACACACACCCTCCCTCACCCACACATGCACACACAGCACTCAGATGACACAGGGAAGGGCCATGCCCGAGCAGGCGCTTGCCAAGTATTTGCTAACGTAGGATGCTCTATGAATAAATTAATTCATGTCAGAAGCAAAATACCAGAATTGTCTTATGGCCCCAGTGGGAGCAGGGTATTCTTCCTAAATGTATCTTTTTTAAGAAATAAATTAAAGTTTACATATACAGCTTTGATCAAAGTCAGTAAAATAAAGGAAAGTGACTTACATAAACTCCACGGCTCTAATCAAATGTATCTTTCTGTTGGAGTTTTTAATTATTTTCTCATCCTTCATCTATATAAAGAGGATCTGGGTCATTATGGTCCTTTCCAGGTGGACAATTCCATCCTTTCATAACAATTTCCCCAAACATCCCACATCCCTCTCTGAGCCACTGAAGAGACTAGCAGGGCACAGAGGGTGCATCCCTGCTAGCCCAGGGCAGCCTGTGTAAATCATGGCCCAGGACATGCTTCGCCTGGTGAGACACTAATGTCCTGCAGCCTGAGGACTGAAAAGCTGTCCCCCCACTGCATAGCCCAGTGCGTCTGCCCAGTAAGCTGTGTTTGCTATGGACTGTCCCATCTTCTCCCTTCACTTCCTTCACAGCTCAGCCTTAAGACCTCTCCACTCTACTCTCGTCCAGAGGGACTGTGGACCACCTAGGTAGCACACCAGCAAGCTTCCTGCCATCAATCACCTTCCGTCGTGACAAGGCAGGCAGTACTCACGAGTGGACTTCTACTAGTTCCTACTTGCCCTGCCTTCTGCCCAAACCTTCATCTGGGCTGCTGCCTCCAACTTCGTGCGGTTGATGAGGCCAGAAGGCTAGGCAGCCCTTTGAGACCACAACTCAAGAGAAATGAGAAGTTTATTCAAATGCAGCAAGACAAACTCTAGGCCTGTCATCAGCCAATTGTGGGCAAGTCCTTTCCCCTCTCTGGGTCAGTTTCCTGGTCTGCAAAATGCAGGTGCTGGTCCCTTAGGACCTCACATTCAATTCACTGAGTGTGACTGTGTGATATGGATATCTCGCTGTGGGGAACAGAAGCAAGTCAAGGCCATAATCCACCCTCAAGGAGATCTTTAACATGAAAGCACGTAGGAAAATGGCAGGAGATGTGAATCCCACAGTAACTTATGAGAGAAATGACTCAGGGCTGGGATGCCCGGAAAAGCTTCCTGGGGAATGGGCCGGCCCATGGCTCACTTGGGAGAGTGCGGTGCTGATAACACCAAGGCCCCGGGTTCGGATCCCATATAGGGATGGCCGGTTAGCTCACTGGGTGAGCGCGGTGCTGACAACACCAAGTCAAGGGTTAAGAACCCCTTACTGATCATCTTTTTTAAAAAAAGCTTTCTTGGAGGAGGCTCAGCACCAGAAATGGGCTCATTCTGGACGTTTGTTCATGCTTTCCATGCAGATGTGGCAGAGTAACACAAGGTAGCTGAAAACACTGTTGTCTGGCTTGCAAGACAAAACACTTGTTTTAAAAGTGAAATTTAGGTATTACTCTTGAAACAATTTCTTAAGCAAAAGAGTAACATGGCATGGCATGAGAAATTAAGCTGGTTACTAGCCCTGCAACTTTAAAGGAAGTAATAATATACCCTGAGGCCACATGAAAGTGGAATTAAACACATTATTCTGGCCCAAGGGATAGGCAAAAAACTGGGAGGAGGGAGGGCTGAGGGACAGAGTTGGGGCAGCGGGCGGCACACATCCACATTTAGACCCCCTTTCTGTGTGACGGAAAGTCAACTCCGTTAGAAAAGACCTTGAGAAATTTAGGGGAAGGAGATAAGGAACAACCTTCTCAGGGGCACGGCGGTAGTGTGTCGGGGAGGAGGAACGTCAGGGAGAAAAACTCAGAAATCAAGTGTTCGGGAGTCTGGGTTAGAGATGAACTCGAGAGTCTTCGGGAGGAGACGGTGGGGGGCGTCCTTTTCAGGGGACAGAAGCAGCGGGGCGTGCACTGTGCAGGGAGCGCGCCTGGGTGCGAGCAGGGTCGTCGCGGTCACACACAGCGGGGCGGCCGGCGGGACACCTCGCGGCGTTACTGGAGGGTCTTGTTTAGAAAGCGTTTCTATCCCAGGTACCACGTTCGGGGGCAGAAACTCAGTTCTGAGTAAGGGCAAAAGCCAGGAAAGGGGACAAAAAGTAAAGTCTCAATCCGGTTCCTTCGGGGGCCAGCGTACCGCGTGACCGACCCCTCCGAGCGCGGCAGCCCGGGCCGGGGCTGGGCCGGGGCTGGGCCGGGGCGTGGAGGCCAGGCTCGCCGGCGAGGGAGTCACCCCGACTGCGGGGAGCTGCGGGCAGGGGCTCCGGGGCAGCCAGGAGGCACAGAGCAAAAAGCTTCGATCTAAGAAGCACCCAGAGGGAAGGAGGGAAAAACAGAACAAGGGAGGGGGGTCCTGAGAGCACCTGAGGGCCTACTACGCTGGCCAAGCCCTGGTTTCTGCTGCCTCCAGCAAGAGTCCCTTGCAGGGGCAGGGGTTGCTGCCCGTGCTGCTCTGTTCTGGCTGGGTCCCTCTTGGCCGAGGGTCCCTGGGTCAGTCACTAAAGCTCTCACAAAGAGGGGATCACGCAAACTGCCCCAAAGGTCACTGGGGGACTAAACAGGGCAATGTTCGGGGGACATAAAGGGCGGGGTTGGGAGTGCATACTGAGGACAGGCCCTGGGGTCAGGGGAGTAACTCGGATCCCAGCTTTACTGTCATTTTGAGAGAGGAAATATAGTCGTCATGACAACCCAGCAGCTGGACCCACCATCCCCAGACAGAACCCCACCCTGGGGACCGCCCATGGCCACACGGTTCCCAGGAGGCCTGAGCAGGTCAGAGAGGCCAGGCTGAGCTTGGACAGGCTGCCGAGGGACAAAGCCGGTGGGCCTCGATGCCCAATGGCATGGGGAAGTCAGGGAAGGGTGTCATCTACCTCCGTGGTTCCTGGGGCCAGCGTAATAACTTCGTATAGCATACATTATACGAAGTTATACGAGACCTTGAGACGGACGAATGCATTTTGCATGTGGGACGTATGTGAATCTTTGGGAACCCGAGGGTGGACCGTGGTGGGCTGAATCATGGTCCCCCAAGGATGTCCACACCCCAGTCCCCCGAACCTGTGGATATGTTACCTTGCTTAACAAAAGGGACTTTGCAGATGTGATCACGTCAGGTTCTCCAGAAAGGGAGATGATTCTGATTAGCCGGGTGGGCCCAATGTAATTACAAAGGTCCTTATAAAAGAGAGGAGGGAGGGTCAAGTGAGGAAAAGACACTGTGGTCACGAAAACAGAGAGGAAAGGAGATGGAACGACAGAGGCAGAGGTCGGAGCGATGTGCTTTGAGGATGGAGGAAGGGCCCCCACACCAAGGAATGCCGGTGCTTCCAGAAGCAGGGAAAGGCGAGGGAACGGATTCTCTCCTGGAGCCTCCAGAAGGAATGCAGCCCTGCCGACACCTTGATTTTAACTCCATACGACTCGTTTCAGACTTCGGCCTCTACAACTGTAGGATAATAAATCTGTGTTGTTTTAGGCCACCAAGTTTATGGAATTTGTTGCAGCAGCAATAGGAAACGAATACAGATTTCGGTAACTCAACTCCTTAATCCGCAGTCCCCCCGGCT